ATTATTCTATTTTTAATAGAAAATTAATCAGTAGATTTTAGTGATATTTTGTTATATTTTTGCAAATTTATATTAGGGTTTTATTATTAATAAAATTTTAATATTTAATAAATTTAATAAATAAAATATACTGATTATTGATACTGAATTACTTGTCTAATTAGAGTTGATTAGTGTCTATTAACGTTTGAATTGATGCTGATTTATAGTTAAATTTAAGTTTTGAATGGTCATGTCTGATTGAAATTAATTGGCATTGATCGGCATCTATTTGTGCTGATCAGAAAACATGACAAATCGGCTATAAATAGTATCAAAATTGGCTTAAAATTAGTCATCTGATTTTTAGCTGATTTAGACTATTTTGACTAGTACTTACAATTTAAAAATAATTTTTTATATAATTTAATACAATTTTACGATTTTAATATAGCTTATTTTTAATATAATTTTATTAAATTTTACCTTTAACCATTTAAAAAATTTACAAAATTTTAGATTTTATTTAGCAACTTTAATATAAACTCAATATTATTAAATAATAACAGAAAAATTTAAAGAATAATAATATTTTAAAAAAATATTTTTAAAATAGTAAGAAGATGATAATAATATAATAATTAAAAAAAACTTATTATAAGAAAGAAAATTTAGATAGAATAAAAAAAGAATAGATTTTTTTAAAGTAGTATTCATATTATTAAATAGATAAATATAAATAAAATTAATATTAAAATATTTAAAAATTTAAATAGTTTAATAGTTAAAATTAATATAATACATAGGAAAAGAGAAATTAAACAAAGTTAACTTAAATATTATAAAGAGAATTAAAGTTCAGTTATTATCTGTAAAAAAAGTTACTAATTATATAGATAATTTGAAATAAGATTAGATAATAGATCAATAAATATATACAAAATATTATATTTGAAAGATAAAAATCACTTTTATTATCTTTAACAATTTTTATAAGTTTAAAATATATAATAGATCTATTAAATATAGTTAAAAAAAGAAAAAATAGGTAGTATTTACAGAATCAGGTGCTAATATATCTTACATATATTATTACAATAGATATGTTACGAAATCTTTAAATTTAAAATCTCAAAAAGCCAAAATTTCAAAACTCTAAATCCCAAAAAGTCCAAAATCTTGAATTTCAAAATCTTGAAATTTAAAATTCTGAATAGTCATAAGAATTACTTTGAATTAGTATGTTATGGGTGAATCATAGAAAATTACTTTGAATTAGCAATATATGTTACAGATGAGATTTAGGTTATCTGAAAATAATCCTGCTGAAATTTTTTTCATTTATTTGTATAAGCAAAACTCCCCTCTGATTGAAAATTTTTTCATTTATTGTATAAGTAAATATTAAACCATTAATAAGATAAATTGTGATTTTAACAACTTTGTAATGAAATTTTTTTAATAAAATTATGTTATATATACATTAATAATTTGGTAATTTCATGCTGTAATATATGCCTTAATCAGAAAGCAAACTTAGTTATATATAAAAAATTTTTAAAGAATAATTCGGGATTTTTTACCATTTGGGATTTTGGATTTTGAGAATTTGACCTTTTGAGATTTTGTATTTTAAACTGTATCCATTATAATATATAATTAAATTAAAATTGATTTTAAGATAATTATATAAAAAAATATTACTTTTTGAATTTAAAATGATTTATATAATACTTAATATTACAATTATTAAAAATTGTCTAACTATATTGAATGGAAGTTAAATTAAATGTTTATTAAACCATAAAATTATATAAATTGTATAATATTATTAAATTATTATTTTCATAATAAATTATTATCATAAAGCTAGCAGTTTTGTCTAGATAATACCCTGAGGTTCGCTAAAATTTAATTTTTAAAGTTTTAACATATCTAAAACAAAAAAAAAAATATAAAATAATATTTGATGTTTTTTTTTTATAAATAATCCAATCCTAGCTCTAACCCTAAACCTAATATTAAACTCGTAATTGATAAATTTAATTTTTATCTTTATAAAATGATTTTTTTTATTTATTTTTTTTCTAATTTAATTTCCAGTATTGGCCTTTAGCCGTTTGGCAAATTTGGCCAGCCAAAATGGCTAAAAAATCTTGGCCGCGGCCAAATATCAATCAAATTCTAATACATTTATTAATACCTAGTTATTTAGCCATTTTGACTATTTTGGCCACGGCCAAATGGCTAGAAATTCCTTGGCTGTGACCAAATGCCAACTGATATATCCTTAACCATTAGCACCATCCTTACTTTTAAACCATCTATAGTATTCTTCCTCTATTTTCTCTACTTCCCCTTTAAAAAACCAAGTTTCATTAGAACAAACAAATGACCCTTCATGACTCTCCTTTTCCTGATTATATAGTTGACAATATCTTCGTTAGGAGGTACTTTCAAAACCCACTTGGTTTGCATTCTTAAACCACGAGTAGTATCATATTGTCATTAACAATTATGAAATCAGGCTGCCCGACTATATTCTCCAAAGCATGACCATCCAAGAAAAGGATTGAATGATCAAGGGGAGTTAAGGTCTCATGAATGTTTACATCTGATGCTGTACAGATGTCCTTTTCACAAGTGACCATACGACATCGGCTAAACGTTGATTCTTGGTATTTCTTATCGACTTCCAGACGCCACTCTAATACTTCTTTATCAAATTCCACCCAATTTGATACCTCATCGGAAAATCGCTGTTCCGTTGATACAGTACTTGACTTTGATTTATAACGCAACTTTAAATAGGTCATGGTACGATGGAATTCAGGCCAATTACTGGAAAGAGGAGTCTAATTTGGAATAGCCGCCCAACACAGTTGTTACTCCCAGACTGTCAAAATCACCCCGAGAATTGAACTCAGACCTCTCAAACCCTAATTGGTACCATCAAATTTGGTAGAATGTTGCGACGACTGCCGGTAAAGAAATTCCTTCTGAAGATATCGAATTTGTTTTAAGCTTTTTATTTAAATGTGATTGAAAGTATTCTTTCTCATTAATCACAGATCGTTTACGTTTCATACGATTCTACAATAATAAGCAGATTTTAGCTTAGCGACAAATACACCAATATACAAGAGTTTCATAATCTATTACTACCTTTGCATCATCAATAACTTCTTCCCAGTGCACCTTCAACCATCGCTCTGAATGCTCCGATTTTACCTGTTATAAAAGTAATAGAAGTAATGATGTTAGCGGTGCAACCTTTTTTTATTTAGTAAGAAAGGATGGTACATAATTGGTCTTCCTCTTAAAATCAATAGACCTTTATTAACAACAAAATTAGGGTGCCCGCATTGAGGACTTGGAGTGGATACCAAGGCATACAGATACAGTAATTCTCCTGAGCAACCAAACAGTAAAATTACGATAACTTGACCAACTTTCAAGAACGGAATATCCAAGATAAGAATTACTGAGAGCCAACTAGGAGTTACCCTTCCTTTGCAAATAAAAAAAAAACGCACCTTTTCTTTTAAAATCGTAAAATTTCTTCTAAACTTTCTGCTTCTCTTAAAAATTGGCGGCCCAACCATCGTCAAGGTCGTGCCAGTTATTCGAAAATGACAAATCAATGATTTTATCGCAACACGCATTCAGAAATCTTCGATATGACCATAGACAACGTTCATTCCACGCTATCTATTATGTTCATATGAATTGTTTTTAGAATACAAATTTATAATAAAAACTGAAAAAAAAACTAAGAAAGGATGTAAATTACGTTTTCGATTCCCAAGTAGTTTGACAGTATGGCGAGCTTGGTTGTACCATAGACCTGGACGAATACCTCTCTATCTAGTAATACATAGTGCCTGTGCTTTGATATGACATGTCTGGCAGTGATGCAGAAACGGAAATTTGACTGCCATGATTATAAAGAACGTTTGGTAAAATTTCAACTGCATGCGGCATCTTTTTTTTTTTATATACTGTGAATTAACTAATATGTCACACCGTAGAGATTTACGGTTTCTACGCGTCTGTCACGCGTTTTATCACGTGAATATACAATAATTCAACATCGCGACATTCGAATTTCATATATATCCTGAATTCTCCAATTACTGTAAATCTATTCTTTTCGTTTAAAGTTAAGTATTATTTAATATTAATTTCTGTTTACAACTACACGCGCCTCTTTTTGTTGCATGGGGGCCACCAAGCGCTGCCTGGTAGTTCAACACGAAAGGTGGCCTGCTCGGTCGGACAGCTTGATGTCTCCTGGACAGATTGGATGCTGGTTGGTAACCCTCCAGGGTTTACATGCAAATCTTCCGTGTTCAACACACGTGTAAGAGAAGAGACTGCGGAAAGAGCTCACGTTTGGGAGAGTGTTTGCCTGTGTTGCAGGAGGTCCGCAACCGTGCTTAATTGTTCAACACAAAAGAGTGCCTAGTTGCAATTTGAAGGATTGCCTGCGAACGTTATGCGTCTCAACATACATAATGTGGCTGAACGACTTGCACTCGAATGAGGGCTACCAAGTATATCTGTGGATTACTCAGTGGATTACTGGTATTAATCAAGCTTCCATTTTTTTTATTGTTTAACGTAGATGAGTAAATTTGCCAAGTTTGTACTGGACACAAGATTTTGCCAACCACACACTGGAATCAATAAGTTTTTCTCTGTAACTTCCTTGAACTGGTGGAATGATATTAAAAAATTTACAAGATTGGTATACGCAAGTGATCCAACGGTGACAGCACAGCAAGTATTTAATCAATACGCTCAAAGCCTATTTGAAATTTCAACCATCAAGAACATTGATCCCGATGTTGTACAACATACTCATAATCTTCATAAAAATATTATTGTATGATTTTATATTTATTATGTTGATGGCAGTGACTTTCTAGTCCAATCTGATTAGTTTGCTCCCAAATAGAAAACAGAATATTTGAAAATTATCGGAGATACTTTGATGAAAAAAATACATGATGATTCGAAAGTAAGCATGAAGACTACCGTATTATTAAAGCTATATTTTTAATAGAATGTCGTTTGCTAACAATAAACCACTTAAGAAAAGGAAGAGAAAAACTATTCGAACCCGAAAAAATTTTCAAACTGCAAAATCCAATGATATAGAAAATCGAAGAACAGCTGTATATAATGACAGCTATGTAAGCTCAGCTCACGTTTTGTCAATGATATTTTATGATTTATTTTATTACTAAACTTTTGCCTTGTAGGATTTGAATGCCGAAATAAATAATTTTTTTCAAAGTTCACATCCGTCCAATCTGTTCTTTAAGCGAGATAATTGCTCCAAATGTTTTATGGAGGTAAATGCATTTAATTTTGTTATTGCAATGGATAACAACATTTACCTTTTTCGATTCTTTAGATTAATATCTCCGAACTATTAAGGTTTTGTTCATACTGCGGAAGTAAAATTGTGTTGTCTGATGACGTTAACGAGCTTGAGAGTGATGAGGATGGATCAGTTAAAGTATCTAATAATAGAATTCTTATTATTTATTATATATATCTCATAATCTGCTTATGTTATTTTAGTCTGATTGTGGAGCAGATGAAAATAAGAACGATAATGATCTTCCTAAAATAAACAAATTGGCATTTCGCGAAGTACACAATGCTATTCCAGATACTGCGAAGATGCATTTGAAGTCGGGAAAGATAGTAGAGGATGTTCTTTTCGATTTCGCCAAAGATATGGAGCATGAACAGTAAGTTTCTCAAAATTTGAATTTTTTTTATCTCGTCATTCGTGATTCTGACATATGTTATCAGCCATGCTCATTCCTACATTATAGACTATGACGATGAAAATGTCAGGGCATTGTTCACTGAGGCGGAATGGAATGAATTAACTGAAGATCGAATTAGAATTCCAGCTGTTCCGCATGAAATTGCGAAAGAGCTGATGAGATACAGGAAAACAACATTAAGCGAGCTTCGTAATTCTGTTATGACATCGTATTTACAAGATGGAACAATTTATAATATCAATAAGCATTACGATCAGGAGTGGATACAAATGGCAGTGCGAACACTAGTCAACCTATATGAAAATATTGATTCCCCCTTAATCAGAAACCAATACGAAGATTGGTTTACTGTTTCTTTTTTCGGGACGTGCATCGACTTCTGTATGAGGGATATTCAATTGGGCACGGATATTAAGAGGTTTTAATCACTTTCCCATTAGTGCAAATAATAATTATTTACTTTTAATGTAACTTTAATTATCGCTATTTGTAGGACTGATGCACCATCACTAGCTAGTCCCAACAGGAAAAACCGTGGTCGGTCAGGAAACACAAACACCAGGAAATTGACTGGACGCAAAATCGATGGGATAGTATATATAGTTGACAGACTTATTGAAGTGGGAGCCATTGAGGCGGCGAGATCATTCTTAGGAGTTTCGGACCAAAAATATCTTCTTGAAACATTCAAAATGCCAAAAACTCTTCGTGATATATATGTTGATCTTGTGAGAACTGCAAATTACGAAGATCGAAAAGCTAACAATATTCAGGTATTTGGTATCTTGCACCTTGGGTTATGGATTCAATTTGCAAGACTGTGGCGTGCTGGTGGTTCAGTTTGTATTTTTCGGAAAGACCCTGTATCTCACCATGTAGATAGTAAATTCTCTGAAGATGGAATAAAATCTTTTCTCAAACTTATGGCAGCGATATATCAACACAAGGTAATAAATACTTGTACATATCGTTTCATTTATCTTAACTATTATCCTAATCATTTCACAGCTTATCATAAGGAATAACTTACAAACATTGAATATCCGGAATACAAATATTGAGCCAACGGATGAAGACTTTTTAAATGAGCTGTTAGAAGTTGGAGATTATTCTGCTTCACCAACATCAAATATTTTTTTTGCCGACTCTTGGCCTACCCCAAGAAAAAAGAGAAAGAATTCAAAGAAAAAGAATGCAAGAAAAATGAGAAAGTTGTAAACAAGTTTCAACAATACTTATCTTCCCGCCAACTTTTCCTCTCATTTTTTATGAAGCTTCCGAATATTTAAGAGTTCAGTGTGATGGTGATTCGAAAGTGGCAAATCAAATAATGTCAAGTTGATAAAGAGGAATTATTAACGATCATATATAAAAGCTTCAAGATTTAAACTTGGTTTAAACTTTCCAACGTAGTGGTTTTTTTTGTTCCAACTTTTCACACACAAACACACACATATATATAAACAATTTTCCCCAGCAACAAAAAAAAATTTTTTTCTTTTTTTTCAATCGACTTTTGCTAAAACGAAAAATAATTTTTTTTTCAGCGCAAGCGCCTTTTTTTTTCTTTTCTTTTCAAAAATACAAATATATACACTTTACATATAAAAGCTTTGTTTGTTGTCTCCTCCCTTCACATTTCGAAACGAAGTTACTTAAACCACTCTGCAACTTTATTTTCTTTCACGTAACTATCAAAAAAATCTTTTTTTTTTCTTTTGTAATTTTTTTTATTTACGCTCGCATTTGTCCTTTTGGTCGCACTTACGAGATATTTGGGTATATTTTTTTTTTTTCCTACGTTCCAAAAAAATAGAGAACTTTTTAAACCCCGAATCAGAAAGGAAACCGACAAACAACTACATTTCGTTCGGATGTTAGAAATGAATAAAAGGAGAAAATTTGAAGAGCTACAATAAGCACAATTAGCACTTTTACAATAACAAGGTGAAACCTTGTACTTGGTTCGTCTGGCAACAAAACAAAAGCAAAAACCGATATATTTCAAAGCGGTTACAATAAAATTAGGAACTTTGACATTTATGTTAAAAATCTAACTTCAATTATTATTGCTTCTGATAAAGTATCAACAAATTAGAAACTAAAGTTTGGAATGATTCTTAACGTAATAAAGTATTAGGTATATATTTGAACAAGATGGTGAGATGTTTAAAATTAACTGTATATTTGATGAATATTCATACTTTGTTCTCTTATTTCAGCATAAACTGAAAGCGAAAATTCGAATTCTTCTTTGTATTATAATACTCTTTATGAACGTTCTAGGTATTATTCGAGAAAACAAATCAAGGATTAAAAAATAGAACTTTTAATAGTATGTTGCTACTAAAGCTACAGGAAAGGTTGAAAGAAACGAGCAAGAAAAATACATTGTAGTTATGCAATTTGCATTTAACCTTGAAATACACCAAAACCATCATCTCTTCTCTGAAAGAGATGATCAATCCCATTGAGTAACATGATCATTAAGCAACCTGATATTGAATCCTTTAAATTAATTTCTTCAATCCATTCACCTGAGAACATTGCTAATGATGTTTCGTTAACTATCTGAAGCATACAACGTAATAACATCGGATTAGAGGAAGAACTCCTAAATGTGAAACAAACCGAATTTCCCTTGTTCATATAAAAACAAAAACTATTACTCACACTTCCATAGTTGTTTAAACAACGAAACACGAGATGGTTTTTTTTTGATTTATCGAAATTATTGATGTTATCTCTGAGATTGGTGGGAAAATACATCACGTGATTGAAAAAAAATTTTTTTTTTTTATATTCGAGGCTTTGTAACTGCCGCTACCAGAGAATTTTTTATAAAGACTCCAAAATGTTTTATGATTAGATCACCGGAAAAGTTTCTCGTATAATAAAACAAAAAGTAAACCAATCGCTTTGGTAATTCAATCGAAGACTATCATTGAAACTACAAAACAACTTTGAAATTATACTATCATCGAACAAAACTATTAATATTTATTTAAGTGAAGACTTAAAGAGACTTGTCAAAAAAGATTTGTAGTCTACTTACGATAAATTTTTCTCGAATGCACATGGAATCCAAAATCAATGATACAGAGAATAAATCTCACGTTTTTATTATAATTATTCTTGCAATAATCCCATTGCTTATCGGCATAGTAGATTATCCATGAAGAAATTATCTTGCGTCAATGAAACAAATTGACATAAAATAGGCGTAGCTCAAACTTGATGCAACTTGAACAAAAGCAAAAGCGCAAGCTTGATGAGTTGTAACCCGATCAGAATACGTCTATGGAATCGTGCATACTCCGGATCAAATTTTCTGAAGTCAAGCAGATGAAAAATTAAAACGGTTCCGGGTGATCGTTTAGAATCGAGACCGAAAAAATAAGAGACAACGCATGTAAGAATATAGGAGTTATGCTTTAAAAGTTACGACGGATTTGTAATATACATTCCGACATCTTTATTTTTTTCGCTACTTTTTAATAAATCAAACTTCGATTCCCGAATTCTTTTTGCCTTTCAGCTGAAAAGATCCAAGACATCTGGTATAACGATTTCGTGGAAAAATTAAGGATATGTTGTCTTTTTTTCTAGTCTTTTCTATACAAGGTCTAGAACTCACCTTGCGGGAACATAAAATTTCCGAATTCAGTAATACCAAATGAAATGTATGATGCTATCGAAGAGGGGATTTCGCGAATCCTAGTCATCACATTATTTCTTTGCTTTCTCTTTTCTACAGCTAATTTATTTCCAATTCATTGATCACCCGTGATTTATGTACCGAGAGAATGAACCGAGATTTTTGGCTTTTTTTTTTTCTCATTCATTCGAAAAAGAATAAAGTTTCTAGATGTTTGGGTTATCACTTTAAGGTCTTATTTCGATGAGCAGTCAGCATTTACAGGCGTACAAAAACTTTATTTTATTTTTTCATTGATAACCATATAGAAAAAAATATACACAAAATGTATATAGATAAAATTTAATGTGCATTAAATATCTATAAAAGAGAAGTTTTGCATCATAAAAAAAGTCCAGCCTACAAAAAAGAATAATGAAATGGCTTAAATTAACACAATATGTGCGCGTGCAAAAACGAGCACATTTTTGTGATGTCATATGTGCACAAAAATTTTTCGACGTGCTCATGTCCGAAGGGTTGACACATTGTGCACGTTTTTACACACTTCGTGATTGAAGTTTGTAATAAATATGAAAATATAATTGCTTATTAGAAATTTACTATTCGACAATACCCTTTAAACAAAACCTTTCATTTTTTTTTAGTTTGAATATAATACCAAATTAGTAGCCGTACTTTTTCTTAATTAGTCACACTTATTATGAAAGAAAAATCTAATAAGAAAAGAGACATAATATAATATAATATCTCACTAAGGAAAATACAATATTCTTAAGAACAGAAACCAACTGACAATTTATATATATAAGGTCACTTTCCACTCTGTAAAAAAGAAAAGTTATTAAAACATACTCTTTCAAATTTCAATGCTCTTTTCTTTTTTACAATATTAAAATAATCATGAAATTTCTTTTGCTTACTGTTATAATTTGCCTTATCTACGCTCTTGTTAGTGTGAATGCTTCACTGTTAATTAATGAAGGTAATTATATCTTTAGAATTTTGTTTATTTCATTTTCAATAATACCAAAACATTTAATAATTATTTTTTTTCATTAATAGCTCGAAGAAGGGGAAGATGGAGAAAACCAAAACCAAAATCAAATTACGCTTTAGTGGGTTACAACTGTTCTAACATATCATGCTGTTGAGGACTAACAATGTATGCATTTCTGGTTAATTGCTTTAAAAAGCATCTATTTTAAATGCTTATTAATTAAGTTTTAACAGACCTCTTGTTTGATAAGTATTGTTATAGAAAAAATTAGCCAAAATCGCTTCAAATTAACACAATATAGATCTTATTTATTATTTATTGTGTTCTATTTTTTTTGTTATATGTTATAGTAGGATTCCCGTTTGAAATACAAATTGCATTTCAAATATTTAAAATTTTTTAAGTTTATTCAAACGAATATCGAAATAATTTTGAATATCAAAAGTTATTTCAGATATCGAAATTGATTCGAATATTGAATTTCAAAAATCAATTCAGATATCGAAAATTCACAATCAATTCTATTTTATTTTTTTTTATGTACTTTCTTATTTTATTTAATTTTTTTTATTTTTTATTTTTTTTTTCATTTTAATTATATTAAATTAATAAATAATCGATCGATAAGATATATAAAAACAACTATATAAGGAAAGTATCGTTGGTAAAGCCCATTTTTTAGTTTCGTGAATGAAATATTAAATTGCATGGTTTTTATTAAAAGAGACGATAGAGATTAAAAGAGAAGACGAAAAAGTTTATAATACCAAATTAGTACTACATTAAAGATGAAAATATAATTTATTATTATTAGAATATAATACCAAATTAGTAGCCGTACTTTTTCTTAATTATTCACACTTATGAAGGAAAAATCTAATAAGAAAAGAGACACAATATAGTACGATATCTCACTAAGGAAAATACAATATTCTTGAGAACGGAAAACCAACTGACAATTTATATAAATAAGGTCACTTTTCACTCTATAAAATAGAAAAGTTATTAAAACATCTTCTTTCAAATTTTAATACTCTTTTTTTTTACAATATTAAAATAATCATGAAATTTCTTTTGCTTACTGTTGTAATTTGCCTTATCTACGCTCTTGTTAGTGTGGATGCTTCACCGTTAATTAATGAAGGTAATTATATCTTTAGAATTTTTTTTGATTCATTTTCAATAATACCAAAACATTTAATAATTATTTTTTTTCATTAATAGCTCGAAGGGCAAGATGCGCTCCAGTTGCTACAAGCTGTGAAACCATACCATGTTGTAGTGGACTTAAATGTAAAAAATTCCGAAGATTGATATGTATTATTTAATTGCTTTAAAAAGCATCTATTTTAAATGCTTGTTAATTAAGTTTCAACAGACCTCTTGTTTGATAAGGAAATACTTGGCTTCAAATTAACACAATATAGGTCTTATTTATTGTGTTCTATTTTTTTATTCTATTATTATTATTTTTTTTTTATTTAAGATTCTTTAATAAATATTAATAAGAAGATAACAAATTTGTATTTTACTTGTAATATATTCATATAATAAATTATTATTCGTAACATCTATTGTATTGCTTTATAGTAAAAGAACCCGGCAAAAATTTTACCAGGTGTCCCGAAATCTACATTTGGTGGTTGTAAGTACTTTGTATGTCATTTAGTGTAATGATTATTCCAATCATTAATTTATTTTAACATTTTAGTTGCGATCATGACAACATTTATATACCGTATGTTTTTTTTTAGATTTTTTTTTATTGCTTGAAACAATGAATGAAATAGAGGTGAAATTTTATCTTCGGGCCAGTGCGAGCGAGCCAGCGCTTAATTATTACGTTCGAAGATATTATTAAACGGCAGATTATAAACCCACTTAAATAAATAATTATAACACAATCAAGATTTTCCTCGATACTTAATCAATAAAAGGTTTATGAAGTACCAACTAATCAAGATGCTAGTGATCAATACAAAAAAAATAATTTAATACCACGTCTGGTTTCAAATAACCACCATAAAAGACCGGCGATTTCTGGTAAAAATATTTCCAATGACTTTTATTAATGGTAACATTTGTATTTTTAATATTAGGAGGAATGAAATTTATCGTGAATAAGCAGAAACTGGTTTATGATCTGATGTGGTGTAATCATTATTGGAAACGAATTGATGTAGTATGATGGCATCATCATCATCATCAATTAAAGCTCCGCATAAGCCGGCTTGGCTTGGATTGCCACCGGCTCGAGCCGAGCCACTTTTTTCGGCTCGGCTCGGCTCGTGGAGATTAATTGACAAGCCAAGCCAATCCGGCTTGCAAGCCGGCTCGTTCGGCTTGCATTTACATTTAGAAACGAAAAACCGTCGATAGAAACGTTTCTCATTAAGAGAAACGTTCCTGGAACGATTCCCTTCGAGAGAAACGTTTCCGGAACGATTCCCTTCGAGAGAAACGTTTCCGGAACGATTCCCTTCGAGAGAAACGTTTCCGGAACGATTCCCTTCGAGAGAATTGTTTCCGGAGCGAATCCCATAAAGGTTTTCGCTTCCGGAGCGATTTCCTTTAAGAAAACGCCGCCGGATGCGTTTGTCTTCAAAGGAACCGTCACCGAGGCCGTTTATCTTCAAAGAAGGAAAATACAAGCCAACGAGCCAAGCCATGGCTTAAGCCGGCTTGTCTGGCTCGCGGCTAGTTTTATAGTGGCTCGAGCCGATCCGGCTCGTTTGGCTTGCAAGCGGCTCGGCTTATGCGGAGCTCTAATCATGATGTTTATTGTAATATAATGTTCTATCACTCCATCCGGGAATTCTTTTTGAGATATTAAAAGAATCAAAGGTATCGACATAATATTTGTAGTTAGGAGAAGATTTGACCTCCCCCTCTTGAAATCCATTAAACATTCTTCCTCTCCTCCTCTCAATAATTAATTGATCAAATGGTAATACCAATTGATGTTGATTTGTATTTAATAAATACATGAACCCTTGATATCGTTAATGAGGGATTTTTAAGGTAATCTATTTCGATACGATAATTCAAATCTCCAAAGAAGAATACCTAATCATTATCATTATTTACCCCAGTATCGCCACAAAAGATTCCATCCCACGTGACTTTGTCCCGGCATTACGGCATTAAGAAATTAACCTGTGACGAATAAAAGGTGACGAAAATGATTTCGCACCCCGAAAAAAATTTCGTTCCCAGAATACTTATGAAAATGGAAAACGCGGAAGGGCGACAAATATTCTATGATCACGTGGGTGAAATTTTTTGTGGCGATACCGGTAAGATATACTGTATAGTATAAAGCGAGAAAAAATTGATAGAAGCAAATGAAATGTATGATGCTATCGAAGAGGGAGTTCGCAAATCCTAGGCCATTTAATGCGAGTCCCAGCGTCACATTATTTCCTTTTCTACAGCTAATTTATTTCCAATTCATTATCAACCCGTGATTTATGTACCGAGAGAATGATCCGAGATTTGTGACTTTTTTTTTTCTCATTCATTCGAAAAAGATTAAAGTTTCTAATTTAGGTTATCACTTTGAGGAAGGCCCGACATGGGCAAAACTATTTTATTTTTTCATTGATAAGCACTAGAGGTTGGAACCGTGCCCATATATAAAAACAACTATATAAGGAAAATTGCAAAGAGAATAAGAAAAAGTTTATAATACCAAATTAGTACTACATTAAGTATAAAAATTAATTGCTTATTAGAATATAATACCAAATTAGTAGCCGTACTTTTTCTTAATTAGTCACACTTAGTATGAAGGATTAATCTAATAAGAAAAGAGACACAATATAGTTCGATATCTCACTAAGGAAAATACATATTCTTGAGGACGGAAAACCAACCGACAATTTATATAAATAAGGTCACTTTTCACTCTGTAAAATAGAAAAGTTATTAAAACATATTCTTTCAAAAAAGAAAAGTTATTAAAACATCATCTTTCAAATTTTAATACTCTTTTTTTTTACAATATTAAAATAATCATGAAATTTCTTTTGCTTACTGTTGTAATTTGCCTTATCTACGCTCTTGTTAGTGTGGATGCTTCACCGTTAATTAATGAAGGTAATTATATCTTTAGAATTTTTTTTTGTTTCATTTTCAATAATACCAAAACATTTAATAATTATTTTTTTTCATTAATAGCTCGAAGGACAAGATGCGCTTCAGTTGGTACAAGCTGTGAAACCATACCATGCTGTAGTGGACTTAGATGTAAAAGAACTCCGAAATTGTTATGTATTTCTGGTTAATTAAGTTTCAACAGACCTCTTGTTTGATAAGGAAAATACTTGGCTTCAAATTAACACAATATAGGTCTTATTTATTGTGTTCTATTTTTTTTATTCTATTATTATTAATGAGATAATAAATTTGTATTTTACTTATAATATATTCATATAATAAATTAATATTCGTAACATCTATTGTATTGCTTCATAAAAATGTGTTGTGCTACATGTTTTTAATGGTATTGGACATGTTTAAAACGGTGTTAATTATAAGGTTCGATTTAAATTCGGTTTAAATAAAAACCGGTTAATTGAATTTAATGAAACCGGTTCTAACCTCAGAGATCAAAAAAAATAGTAATAATTAAATATCATTGATATTTGATGCAAATCTACATTGGTGGTTGTAAGTACTTTGTATGTCATTTAGTGTAATGATTATTCCAATCATTAATTCATTTTAACATTGAGGTTGCGATCATGACATCATTTATATACGTATGTTTTTCAGATTTTTTATTGCTTGTAACAATGAATAAAATAGAGGTGAAATTTTATCTTCAGGCCAGTGCGAGCGAGCCAGCGCTTAATCATTACGTTTGAAGATATTATTAAACGGCAGATTATTAACCCACTCGAATAAATAATTATAACACACTCAAGATTTTCCTCGATACTTAATCAATAAAAGGTTTATGAAATACCAACTAATCAAGATGCTAGTGATCAATACAAAAAATAATTTAATACCACGTCTGGTTCCAAATAACCACCATAAAAGACCGGCGATTCTGGTAAAAATATTTCCAATGACTTTTTTCACGACCCTCCATTTATCAATCTTAATATTAATGGTAACATTTGTGGTTTTAATATTAGGAGGAATGAAATTTATCGTGAATAAAGCAGAAACTGGTTTATGATCTGATGTGGTGTAATCATTATTGGAAACGTATTGATGTAGTATGATGGCATCATCATCATCATCATCATCATCATGATGTTTATTGTAATATAATATTCTATCACACCATCCGGGAATTCTTTTTGAGAAATTAAAAGAATCAAAGGTATCGACATAATATTTGTAGGTAGGAGAAAATTTGACTTCCCCCTCTTGAAATCCATTAAACACTCTTCCTCTCTTCCTCTCAATATTTAATTGATCAAATGGTAATACCAATTGATGTTGATTTGTATTTAATAAATTCATGAGCCTTGATATCGTTAATGAGGGATTTTTAAGGTAATTTAATTCGATACGATAATTCAAATCTCCAAAAAAGAATACATAATCATTATCATACATCGTATCATACTTCTTCTTGTATGGTGTGGACTTACGTCGTTCAACTAACGGGGTAAAATCATTATCATCATCAAAATCAACAAATGCTTCCTCATCAATCGTGTTATTAACAAATACTAATCTTTGAATGATGCTTTGAAAATCCTTATTTCTTTTTAAAACATTTTTTGAATGTGGAGCTAAATGCGCGCAAACGAAACACACCGAATTAACATTTTCTCTGCTGGAATCAATGAAAATGATTAATCGAACCACGATCGCTCCTTTATTACCGATCCACATTGGTCCAACTCCAATTTGTTCGACCTCAACGTCCTTTATCTGATTAATCAACTCATCTCTAACGTAAATTACCAAGGCTAACCCAACGAATATGCTTCGTGTTACCTGATAATATCGTTCTCTTGTACAATTATATATCGCTCTTTCAATCATTCCTTCACAATGTTTGATTCTGGTTTCACTATTAATATTCAAGAATGCGTTTGGGTATTCATTAAACTCTTGAAATCCTATAGCTATTATATCAGGTTTTTCTAATAGCGAAGGTGATGAGGTGCTTAAGGGGAATAACCATGATGTTAATTCTTGATTTAATAATCGTTGATTTAAATTATAAGTTCCTATTAAAACGTTGAGCGGCATTTTTTATGTATTTTTTTTTAAAAAAACAAAATAAAAAACAATAAATAAAAGTTTTAATAAATTTAAGTCAAAAAAAAAAAAACAAATTAGCCAGTTCTCCAAATTTGGAAAGCGATCTTTTTGATTACCCCCGCATATTAATATCATATGACGATTTGACGATCCGTTCAACCTTTTCGAAAATTTAATTAAAAAAAAAAAAAAAATGAAAAGGAAACGTCAAGTCCTTAAAACAGAAATCAAAAGTCATTATTTCACTAGCATCATAAATGAAGATGATGAAGCTGACGCGCAACACGAGAATGACGCGTCAAATAGCGGTATAACCGAAACTATATTTATACAAGATGATGATTTATTATCCGAGTCGGATTTGATGCATAAATCATTAAAATTGCAAGAGACAATTATGGAAGCTCAGGAAATCGCATCGATGAAACGAACGGGGAAAATATCCAAATACTTTAAATCAAACAAAAAGAAAATTATAAAAGGTGATAATCCCAAAAATTTCAAAATCAATAAAGATCCCCTTGCTCTCATACACGATAAACACGATATCACATTCAATAATGAAACTGACTCAATAATCCGCTCGGAGTCAACAGCGGGATTCGTTTCGGAGATGGTGATCACTTTGGAAAAAAGGTTTGATGATGATGCCGTCGAACAAGACCTAATTTGTACTGACAATTCAAGGAGCAGTGGCAAATCAAAACTTCCAACCATGGAAGAAGCACAAAAAGCAGCATCAGTTACAATTCATTATACACCAAAATTTATTCCGATGCCATCTCCTTTCAATCTTGTACAAGAAACTTTATATTATGACCCATGGAAGGTACGATAATTGTTACAATTTATTTGTTACGATTCATTTTTATCTTTCGCCCACCTGTCTTCCTTTTTTTTTTTTTTGATGAAATCAAGCTATTGATTGCAACCATGTTTTTAAATCGTACGAGAGGTTCACAAGCGTTGCCATTAATGTGGAAATTTTTTGAAGAATATCCGAGTCCACAAAAAGCCGTTTTGGCCAATGTAGATAAATTAGCTGATTTATTACGCCCATTAGGACTTCAGTTAAGTATCACATCTATTTAAAACTAGGCAAAATTTTGATCGAGTTAACCTTTTCATTCTCCTTACATGTAGGAATACGAGAGCAGAAAGGATAATAAGATTTTCATACACGTATTTATTAAATCCAGATTTCAAGACCCCCAAACAGTTATTTGGTATGGGTAAATATGCTGAAGATAGTTGGAAGTTATTTTGCGAAAAGGATGATAATTGGATGGAAGAATATGGTTTAGAAACTGAAGACAGAATTTTACAATTATATGTTAATTGGCGTAGAAATCAACATAAAGGCTTAATAAGTGAGGAAGACCTTAAAGAGAGAAATTTGGATGAGAAAGGGCAAGAGATTTCATCTCAAGGAAAATCACAAGATGATTCGATGGGGAGATCATCTGAAAGCATATCAAAGAAGTATGAAAATGAAAATTATCTTTCCTTACAAGAATTAAATAATTTGGACATCTCATCAAGATATTATGAGGATTCATTATTGGAAACTACTTGCATTAAAAAATGATTGTAACTCTCATGTACATATGCAAACATGCATGTCTTATTATGATAATAATAAATTTATTTTTGGAATTTTATGAAAGCAAATGTAACTATTAATGATCTACTTCCATTATGGTTCCCATTTTGGTATTGGGAGTTGATAGTGCTTCTTCTATGGACATTAGCGAAATTAACGAAATTAGCAAATTTAAATGAGTTATTTAAAGAATTTTATAATTAAATTACCTGTATTGATTTTTTCGATTATCATTTTTCCGCTCTCCATTCCGTGATTTTGTTGCTACATTATGATAAAAATCAATTTAATTTTCAACAATCAAAAAAAAAAAACCATTCAAGATAAAAAAAAAATTAAAATAAAAATTTAACACACATTTCTAATTAATCTGTCAAGCTTTTGTTGTTTCTTTTTAGATCTATGTCTACCGTGAATGACCATTTCACTAGGTCGTAACTTTCCCAGCATTTTATTATTATTTGACCGAATCTTTCTTTTAATTCGACGTTGTTTTGTCAACTTGTGAACCTTTCTTGGAGCATTTGTATTTACCATTGTTGATATTTTTTTATTTGTTAAAAAAGAGGGGGGACAGATTTTTTTTATGATCACCTATGGTAAACTCTGTTTGATTTATATTTAGATATTCTAGAAAGAATTCATTTTCAAACCAATGGCCCGGAGACGGATCCGCCGACTGTTACACGTAATCTCCTTATAAGTATCAAAAGCATCTTATTCGGTTATTTCGGAATATTTTATCGGTACGAATGAAAGCATACATTCATCCTTAAAATCGAAATCTATTGGCTTTTTAAGTAAATCGATTTTTTTGTTTTGGATATATAAAGGTCAAGTTCCTTTTTGACCTTTTACTCAACAAACTTATTTTTTTTTTATCAAAAAACCAACCAACCCTTAAAATTTACCACATTCCTTTTTTTTTTTTTAAAAAAAAAAACAACAAATAACTCATAAACCTCCCGAGCATTTTTTTTTGATAAAAAACTATGGCTGAAACTGTACTTCGAATCGGTGTGCTTGCAGCTAGAGATTTAGCAGCCGCGTAAGTATCTTCTGTTTCAAACGAATTTTTTTTTTAGATGAGTAAACTCTACTTTAAAAATATCATAAAACATGACCAACTTTACCACGTACTGACTCTCCACATTTTCTTTTCTTTTGTATTAACAGTGATAGAGATGGTTTCTCCGATCCTTACGCGGTAATCAGAGTAGCAAATAAAAAATATGAGACAGCAGTTATCAAAAAAACATTGAATCCGGTATGGAATACATCATTTGACATCAAATTAAGCGAGGCGAATCTACCTCCGCTCATTGTCATAACAGTATGGGATGAAGATCGTTTTGGTCGTGACTTTCTTGGGGAAATCACTATCCCTATTAAACAAGTATTTGCTAGAAATAATGGTGGATTAAATGATGGACAACCTAGAACCTTTGATGACCCTGCGAATCAACCTGCTGCTTACACTTTACAAAAGCGTACCGCCAGAAATGATGTTAAAGGTGATATCATATTGAAATTTGGACTCGTTGATAATAAAAATCGATCCTTGGAAGATTTATGGTATTTTTGGGAACATTTATGCAATAGTATGGCTGTCGGTCGATAAACCTATTTTTTATTTATCACGTTAATTTATTTACCCATTCCAATTTTATATATATATTTATGTAATATTTAAAATTAAAATTTTAAATTTTTTAAAAATTCTTTTAAATTTTTTTTTTTTTTTTTTTTTTTTTAAAAAAAAAAAAAAATATATATATATATATATATATAATGATGATAATAATAATAATAATAATAATAATAATAATTTATAGAAATTTGATGTATCTAATATTATTAAATATCCGTTATTTAACAAGTTTTACACAGCAAATATTTATTGTATTATTCTATCCAATGATATACAAGATACAACAAATAAATGATCTATTTGTTTTATTTGTTTACAAATATTCAATACCAATCTTCCAAATTCAATATGTTACACGTAGAAAAAAATCCTTATGATGATGCGCCTATGGACAAAGAAAAATCATGTCATGTAAATGTCTTGCATAAAAAAAAAAATTTTTTTGTCAAATAAAAAGTTACTTACTATAAAAATAGATATTCTCCCATAATGGTTGATAATCTCTTAGAATCCCTCCAAATAATGATAAAATAGGTTTGTTGCTGACCGATTGACAAAAATTATTGATTTTTGGCCTATTGATTTATCATCCGCATATAAATTTAAAATGGTCATATATTTTGTGGAGGGTGATTAAAAAAACATACCTTGTGAATTTTTCGTAGAAAGGACCTCGTAGAATATAAAAGAGGAAAAGACGGATACGTCTCTTGTGTTCCTCCTTTTCTAATGTAGATATCCATCTATATCCTCCCGGTACCTTTTTCTTGTAGAAATGATCAAAAAAAACTTTTGCTAATAATTCAATAAAAATTGAAAGTACCCAAGGTTTCCATGAACGATTCCCATATTTTTGCAATGCAAAGACTATAAGAAAAATATATATATATAAGATTGAGTTATTGAAGTATATTCCTTTTTAATGAATCGAAAAACATAAAGTTGACCTTGATAGTACCATAGATGAGAGGTCTAATGATGTATAATAATTCGGCAAACTTCCCAATACCATGTAACCTATGAACTAGTTCTGATGGTTTTCTAATATCTTCACTATATAGCACTTTACTCATTAAATAATCATTAATAATATTATTATTAAAGGTGGTGTTATTATTAATCACCGAAGATAAATTATCTCGTTCACATCTCGTGTTTTGTCCTATCCACGTTTGATTACCCGTAGTAGAATTCTCTTCTTGATTAAAAATTGATGGATCAATTTCTCTTCTTGGTATGGTTGGATTGACTACTGTACGCTCTTGTGTCTTATAAAAAAGTATAATTCGACATATCACCCTGAATATTGAAAGGATTTTCGTCAATTCATGTCACGTAAAACGAACGAATTCTGGTTAATGTCACTTACTTTATAAATTCAATCGTGGTGATTAATCTCCATTTGGCTTGTTTACCCCATTTCTTTTGTACTCCCATCTCCATTAATACATCAGTATACTGTAAAAATGTTAATGCAAATGATGCTCTTTGATACGTCTTTGACAGATTAATCCAGTATCTCGTATATTTATTGTGTGCGGAAGGAATTGGTTTTTTTGAAGGCTCCAAGCTTTCGGCAGCTCGAACTAAAATCGAATCATGATATAACCCGATCAAATTCAGCGCTGCAAAGACTAAATACAGGCACACCAAGGAGGAGAAAAAAGAAGCGTCAAAAAGATAAAGATAATAATATAAGCAATGTGTGTATATATATTTATATATAAAAAGAAAGGATTCGTACGCGCTTCAGAAGCGAACTCGGCATCGGCAAACCGACCTAATAACCCAAAATAGGCTAACCTTTTAGAATGCATTCAAACCAACAAAAGAAAAAAAAACACCTTTGATACTTGCCTGGTAGAACATAAGTCAAAGTTCTTAATGAACTTTCAATAGAACTTATTTGTGAGGCATTATTTAGAATAATATTATCATATTTTTTAAGATTTTTTAGGATGGTACCAAGTATATGCATAATTAATTTAAAAAGAGGCGAAAAAAAAAAAAATTCAATTTATCAATTTTTATTTTTTTTTTTTTTTGCTGATAGATATTCTACTAGTATCTACGGATGATCGCCCGATTGGGAATCATATATATTTCTCGTACGAGTATCGAGGGGAAATTTAAGAAAAAAATGCTTGGCTTTTTAAGGCGTTCTTTAGATGTCGTTAAAGAAGGAGGCATTAAAAGTAAGTTAACAAACAATTAGTAAAACAAATAAATATTTCATAAAAACAATGAATCAAATTTTATTTTAATCTTAATAATTTGAAATCAGTTTTAAAAGCTAACCCTACGCCATGGAATAACGAGCAATTATTATTACGTCTGAATAGTGTAAAGGATTTAGAAAATTGGGCTGTGGGATGCGATAAAGATGTTGGTGGTAAATGATTGTTTGAATTGAATTCAAATTCTTTAATTGTAAGTGAAATATTAACGCACTCGTTATTACAATTTAGGATTCTCTGATTCGAAATTAGAAATTACGGAAGAAGGTTTTGGTAAATTTCATGGGAATATTTCTCTTGATGTACCAAAAGATAATCCTCGGATTACAAGAAGTGGTTACGCTGGTATAAGATCAAAGGTACAATATCCTATATGTTCCTTTATTTTTTCTCTGCCGTTTCTCTTTTGTCAAACCCTCCTTAATTATGTAGGTACATGGTTCATCATTATTTGGAATAAGGTGTTGGGACACTTCATTATTTCGCTATCTATATATAAGAGCACGTGGAGACAACAAAAAATATTTTGTAAATATACAAACTGATGGTCCTATAATTACTGATTTGTTTCAACATCGTTTATTCTTAAGGAACCCAGGTGAATGGGAAACGGTGTTGGTATGTTTACCTTTCTTTTCTTTCTTTCTTTTTTTTTTATTTTACCTTTTTTCGTTAATTCATGTCTCTAATTTAGATTCCGTTTAGAGATTTTATATTAACTAATCATGGAATTGTGCAAGATCCTCAAATGGAAATGTACAGGGAAAAGGTTAAGACCGTTGGATTCTCTATTTTAAGTCAACCTGGCCCTTTTCGTCTAGACATTGATTGTATCAAAGCGATAAATACCGACTCAACTGATGGTAATCTTATTTATAAGTTTCAACGAGACCTATAATGATATCGTTCTTTTATTTAAAATTTCTATTGAACTTTCTGTAATTTATTATAGGCGATTGGAATATTCAACCACCAATGCAAAATCATGATAAAAATTTTATTTAATTTAAAATATATATATATATAAAAATAATTAAAACATAATGTAAATAACTAAATAAAAAATAATAGCTTAATGAAAATATAATATATATATATCTTTTTTTTTGTTTTTTAAAAATAATAATAATAAAATAAAATATAATAAAAATTAATAATATATATATATATATATTTGTAAAAATATACATACATATATTTATTTTAAAAAAAAAATTTGGATTTGTTTGAATCTTAAAATAATCTTAAAAAATAATAATAATTTTTTTTTTTTGGTTTTTTTTTTTGGTTTTATCAATCTTTTTTTTTTTTTTAAAAAAAAAAAAAATAAATAATTTTTGATATTTCAATTAAATATCAATACTACTGATTATATTATAAATAATAAAATATGAACTAAATTATAATAATAAAATAAAAAAAAATAACTTGTAAATAAATAAAAAAAAAAATATTACTATTAATTTAAAAAAATATTATATATATTTTTATTATTTAATAAAAAAAAGAAATATATTTCTTTAAAATAATATATTTTTTTTCAAATAATTCAAAAGAAAAAAAAAATGAATATTATATATAATTAGAAAAATAAAATAAAATCCAAAAAAAAAAAATTTTGCTTTTTTTCTTTTGTTTCATTCTTATTTTCAACTCCTTTTATATTAACAAATACAAAAAAAAAAATTTCACCTTTTAAAAGTATTTTTTTTTGTGTATGTATCTATTGCGTAAAAAAAAAAAAATAAAATTTGGCAAAATAAAGAAATGATTTTTTAAAAAAAAAGAATAAAAAAACTATAGTACAAAAAAAAAAATAATAAGAAAAAGAATTTTTGAGTGAGAAAAAGAAAAAAGGAAGTTAAAAAAAAAATTTTATGTGAGTTTGCTCGTTACATATGCTAGATGGGTAAAGAAAATGAAATAAAAGATGTAAAGGAAATTTTTGGCGGTGAAACTGGTTTTTGATATGATAAAATATTCTCTCTCGTCAAGTAAATCAAATACTTAAATTACACGTATGGTTTTATGGAATTATGATGAATAAATCACTCAATAATTCACATAGCATCATTAATCAAATACATATATTATGATATGACAGAGAAAATAATAACTTTTCATCCTACAACTCAGTTCTTGATTTGTTAGTGTTTGGATGCTAATTAAACAAAAAAAAAAATTTTTTTTTTTGAATCAAGCTTTTTTTTTTTTTAAAAAAAAAAAAAAGAAAAAAAAAAAAAGGGGGATCTTAAACGCAACAGAAACCAAAAAAAACAAGTACAAAAAAAAATGCAAACACAAAATTCATAAATACAAAAGGAGTAAAAATACTAAATGAAATAATGATCTAATGTAACTTATCTGGCAATATATATATATAAATATTATTGATAATAAATATGGCGAATATGCTTTTTGTGCTAAGTTAAAATCTATGTTATCTTTGGTTCCAGCCAAATCCAATTAAATTCACCATCCGCCGTATGTCATTCCGTCTTGTGGCAACTCGATCTGCATTGGCAATTGTTGCGCGGAAGCCATATTCGTCGTAGTGTAATTTAGGAAATCTAGATTATCTAGAAATTGGATAAAATTATTACAAGAATTGAACATTTTTTTAATGAAAGCATTTAAAATAAATACCTTCAGATTTAATCATCATATTTTCATCCTGTAAATGATGCTGAGGATTGAAACCAAATCCCAAACCCTGTTGTACCAACATTCCAGTATCATTCGGTGGTGCCGATACGATTGATCCAGATTGCGGTCTACTTTCAACATTCAAATTTGCCAAAGTATTTTTATTTTCATTTCCTGGTTCTTGTTTCAATAAGATTGGATCATCAACGTCTGAAACGCTTAACCTCATCATATCTGGGTTAATTGACATGGCTACGTTCATCGACATTGGATTCATAAAATCATACGTTTCAACAAATTCTGTGGTCATCGGAGGAGCAGATGATGGTTGTTGAAATCCTTGAAATTCTGATGTGGTAACGGCATCAAATTCTGTAATAGTGGGAGGAGCAGAAGAAGGTTGTTGGGATCCATAAATATCATGTGACTGTTGTCCCATTATCATAATTGAAGCATCATCTAAATTATGTGGTAACAAAGGTTGTGACATATTACCCTGTACTAATCCAACATTTTGGAATTGCCATTCTTCTGCGCTTTCAGGAAATGAAAGATTGCCACCGTTGAAACCGGACTGAGGCCGTCCATTACCCAGCCCGCTGGGCATCATCCTTGGACTACCCGGAATACTAACACTTCCATAAGGACTGAAACGTCGAGAATGTATTGGTGGGCTGGATATGTGCAAGTTGGCAATACGACTTTGCAATGAAACTCCAGAGGGGGACGTTGGAGTCGACATAATCTGAGAAAATTGATTATTATTGTTATTGTTATTGTTATTATTATTATTATTACCATTATTTTTCTGCTGCTGATTATGATTTTTCATAGCTTTAACATAATCTACTTCTTCTTGCAGTCTTTGCATTAATATCGCTTTTTTGCCTGTTGCGGGTTTTCCACGTTGTCTCAACATTTCTTTAAGTTCGCTGACTGTAATATCTTCAAAGTCAACCTTTTCAAGTTCTTCATCCAATTTACGTTGATATTCTTCAGAGGACAAGGGAGGACTATTATGATTATGTTTAGGATTTCGTTGTATTTGAATAGGTAAAGCATTTCTACGAAAGGAAGAAGAAAGAGAAAAATTGAGTGGAAATGATTGTGCTGGTTGCATAGGAATTGAACCTGGCATTTGTGCGGCGTTTTGGGATTGGAAAGGAGCCGTAGGCGCAGAAAGAGAACGTTTGCGCATGTGTCCCCGGCGAGGTGGAGCAAGTTTAGATTTTTCGGGTGGGAATGTAGGTGTATTGGGAGTTGATACAGATGATAAATCCATAATGGGAGTACCCGTTGAAGTATTCGATTTAACTTGTGATAAAGGCATAGCACTCTGAGCAGCTGCTGTTAATTGAATATTCGGCATACTTCTTTGGGTCCTTTTATCTAGTTTTACTTTAAATCTTGCTTGCAATTCATTAAGCCTTTGGGCATGATTAATTGGACTAGCACTAGAAGTTCTAGATAAGTGCGATCGAGTATTTTGTGAATTTGGGCTCGTATTCCCAGATGTATTTTGTGAGTTATGATTATTTATATCTCCATCATTTTCATTATTAATTTGGTTATTATTTGCATCATCAAGTTGAAATCCGTTAGGATTTAACGTTTGTTGTTTTGAGTTTTGAATGGAAGAAAATTGGACCTGTTGTTCAAAATTCATCGAAGGGGGCAAGGATGATTGTGATTGTTGCGCAGCAAACATAGCCTTACGAGCTGCTTGCGCCTTTGCTAATGCATGGATATTATCCGCGGATAAGCTTCGACGACGCATGGTCAAATAATTTGGAATGTTGGTCTTTTGTAAAGGACCCGGAGTCTGGGCCCTTAAATGAGCATGATCATTATTTTGAGACACTGTATTTTCAGAAGCATTAATTTGCTGTTGTGAATCCTGTTGTTGACCAACATGATGAAGGGACTGTTGCTCAGCTTGAGCAAGCACCCAAGAAGGATCATTGACATAATTTTGAGAAATTAAGCCATCAACAAAGACTCCACCGTTACTAAATACGAATTCACTCATTTCATCACCATAATTTTGTGTCCAATCAGACGGAAGGGAACTTCCAAGCATTGCAGCATTATTTTCAAAAGCCTGAAAAGGGAAACCGTTATTATCGGCCATTTGGAAACGTTGAATGATATTAGAAGAATTTAATTGTTCTTGGATCTCTTCTAACTGTTCTTGATTATATTGCTGCTGTTGCTGTTGCTGTTGTTCCTCAAGAAAACCTTGAGAAAATTGATCCTCAGCTGAATGTGGATGAAAAGCTTGAGTGAGTAAAGTACCCGAAGATTGATTCCTCTGATTATACATGGTCTTATTCTACAAGTTCAATTAAATTTATACGTAAATGTGGTATAGGTCGATTGGTCTATGTAAATAATTTTTTTTTTTTTTAAAAAAAAAATTTTTAACTATACTTGCTTTAAAAAATTAAAATAACATAAGTATCTAAATATAATATTAATATATATATATATTTATATATATATTTTTACCGACCTTTGGAAGGGATTAATTTTTAATTTTTATTTTGAGCTAAAAAAGAATAATTTTTTAACAGACCTTGCGACAGATGGGAATTGCTACATGAATAAAAAAAAAACATCATATTAATATTTTCACTTCCATCGAAGAGAACATGATAACTGATAAGCGGATTGCCTAAAAAAGTTATTATATGCAGATAGGTATTTACCTTGAAAAGACGTTAAATGATACTTAGGCAAAGTAATAAAAGTAAACGGAAGGTCACAAGCCTAAGAAAAAAAGAAAGTAAAGAGAGACGATGTATATGTCGTCGAACTTTTTTTAAATTTCGCAAGGACAGGTAAGTAGAGTCCAACTGCTTTAAATTAAAAAGACTTAAAAAGGTCCACAAAAAAAACGCATAAAAGATACTGAAAAAAAGAAGGTTCTGTCCTTTTTTAAAGGGACTTTCGGAAATTGGAAAGAATGAAATTGTACGACTGCACGCACACTATACGCACTATGAAAGAACGGAAAGGGAGATAGATATGAAAGGGAAAGAAAAAAAAGTTTGAAGGGAAAACCTGCGTGCGTTGGTAAAGGGGAGCGATTTTCCAAAAACGACCGACTTTTTATGATAAAAAATTTGTGAAAACTAGTACAACTTGAAGCTTCCAGCCGAAGATGGCCGTCCGTCAGCCAAGACGGTGGGCTGGATACCTGCATTTGCCTCAAAAGGAATTTCGAGTAACGAAAAGCTCTCGAAGCCTAAAAGGGGAAAACACAAATATAAAACTGCATCTTAAATAATGTGTAACTTTTTAGTTTGATATACAATAGGAAATATAAAAACAACAACTTTTGTTATGCAACATTATTGTTGCCACGTTGCATTAATCATCAGATCCTTTGATGCATTCGAAGAATTTCTCGTTCCGTCAACATCCGTCAAAGAGTCGTTAATCATTAATTTTTTTTCAATTTGGATCATGTGTCGCATTGCAAATCGACCTTTCCCGATTCATATTATCATTTTATTTTTCTTTCATTTCCATATATTACAAAAGTATTACAAATAAATTTTTTATCCGAAAGTTCACAAGTTGATCTTTTATTTATGAAAAAAAAATATAATTAAATTTTTTTTTAAAATCAAAAAAAAAAAAAAACAATGGGGGGAACTTGTATTTTTAGTCCGTATAAACTTACAAATTTTTTTTTTTTCCTTGATTTTCCCAGGTTTCATGACTAATCTTAATTGTAACGTTGCAACATAACGAACATCTGTAACTTGAGCCACGCTAAAATTTAGAGCGCTGATCGAGAAATTTGAACCCTTGTTCCTTTTTTTATAATATCCGATTTAGGTTGTATAATGAATAACTTTATATCATATTTATATAGGTCGCATTTATTGCATGATCATGTGCCAAATTCTTAAAATAGTGACATCATGTGTTTTGTAGAAGATTATTCAACCTCACCATTAGGTCAAGGGCTGCGACTTGTTGCTGCGGAAGATCATTGTCAAAGTCGTGTGCTTGTGTCATCAATCTGTCAAAACCAGAGTTTTTCGCTTCAGACATCAAAAAATTCTCACTAAAAAAGTCGGTTTTAATAAATCTATCTAAAAAAAATGGACATGGACCCTTCGGCAACGTTGTTGAGTCTCCTTCACAAAAATCAAAATTCACCTTCTGAAACAGCCATGACCGGTCAGAGAAGTCCACCTACCTCATCATACCCTTCTCAACCAACCCCCCCTCCAATTCAAAGTTCACCTAATCCTATGCAAATTTTCGGCATTACCGCACCCTATCCTCAGCCATTAGCTTATAACCCAACCGTTTTTCCGCAAAACACTGTGCCACCACCACCACCGCCGCCTCCACCTCCACCGTTACAGCAGTTATCGTCTTCACAATCGCAAATGTCACCAAATCCGTTAGCTACCTTTTTCCAATCCTTTAACCCAAGCTCGATTACTTCTCCCTCACAGTTAACCTCAATAAGTGCTGATAGTGTGACACCTCAGCCTCAACCAGGTATAATTTCTTTTGGTGGTGATAACGAAGCGACTACATCCTCTGGAACGAGTGATCCTACTTTATTGAACATTGACAAAGCTTCTACAGAATCTCTTAAGCTAGCTTTATTTGGTCGTCCATCTTCAACAAGTTTTGATGAAAGGTATCGTGCTCTTTCCATTATCAACGCTAGGTTAAGTTTAATTATCATATAATTTCATTAATTGATTAATTTGTGATCGCTGTATCCCAGTCAACAGGAGAATGAAAACCAATACCAAGCGGATACTTCATTTCCTCAGGATGAAAATCCATTAGAGGTAGATGCAACTTATCCTGAAGAGACTGCCGACCTTGAAGAAAAATTACCTTCTGAGACGGACGTCGATTACAATAAAATTTCGACGTTGGAATCGATAGGAACCACCACTTCATCATCACCTTCAACAAAGCAGTCTCCTTCAACGACGAATAAATCTATGTTTACTTATACCAATCCCTTTGACCTTTTAAAGATATCACCGCCTCCTTCTCCTTCACAATCAATTAACACAAACCAGTGGAATATACAATCTACTTCGTCATCTCAACAAAAACGAGAGGCTCCTGTAGTTCAGAAAGAAAGTGGCGTTTTTTCACGACATACAGAACCATTTCTTTCCGAATTATCTGCATGGAACATACGTGCAAACTTATCAGCCCAGACAATTTCAAGGTATGTAAATTTTGTTTTTAAAAAATTTATTTCCTTTTAAAACTTTTTAATTTATTTATCTTTATTTATTCTTTTTTTTTTTTTTTTTTTTAATCAGTGTCCCAGATGGTGTTAAACTTCCACGAGGAATCCTTCTTTATGATACAGGCAAAAAAAATGAAAATATCTTGTCCCGTAAGGATTTAGAACTTACTACAATAACGCTCGTTCCGAGTGAGTTGGAATATCGTGCTGGAAAATTAATTGCTGTTAATGGATTATATATATGCTATGCTGTGAAAGGTAATTTATCAATTGTTATTATTTATTATTTATTTATTTTATTTTTATTTTTTATTTTCCCTGAATGATATGAAGTTTTCAAGAACTTACTCAGCATGATTAATTTCGACAGGTGGAAAAATACGAGTTATAAGTACTTTATATGGTAGCAAAACGTTATTGCGAAATCACGACAAGTATATTCTTGATATGTGTATTCAAGACGTATTATCTGATGTATTCGAGGATGTAATTGAAACGCAATTGCTTCTTGCAGTTGGTATTGACAGTAAAATTACAGTTTGGGAACTTTCTGAACCACCGTCTGAACAAGAAGTTGAAATCCCGTATGAGAATTTTCTATATTTCTTATAATTTAATGATTATATATTGATTTTATATATATATATATATGAGTGTGTATATATATATTTTTGTAATTTTTATTATTATTATTTATTTATTATTTATAAATTTATTTAGGTTCAAAATTTTACTTGAAATTAATTCTAATCAATCACCTGACGAATTAAAGTCCCCACGATATCATCGTGCTGTATGGCATCCAGTGATTCGTAATGTGTTTGCGGTAGCTACGGATACTAATGACGTGTTAGTTATCGATATCAATAAAATTTTGGAGGGCGAAGAGGAAAGGAGTTTTAAAGAATCTGATATATCAGGAAAGATTTTGAAGTCTAAAATGCTTGATAAGGTCCGTCTTTTTTTATTAATTGGCAAATTAAAAGATCATTTCCCTATCAAATTTGATGTGGGACACGTTGTTTCATTGATGCGTATGGTCTTTTAACATAGCCCATCAATGACCTTGCTTTCTCTCCCGATGGAACGATTTTGGCCACGGCAAGCGATGACTGTGTCATCTTTTGGGCACTTGATTTCGAAAATGATGTCGGTATAAATCCGGTCAAAAGAATAATTCTCGATGGACAACAGGTATCTTCGGTATTATTTATTGATGGAGGACAATCTTCGCTATTTAAATTCCGCTATGTGATATTGGGAACGGAAAGAAACACGATTCTTCATCTATATGATATTGAATCAGGCGTATACATACAATCCATTAATTTCTTACCACCACCAGAGCGTCGACCCCCTTTAAGCAAATCATATAGAAAAGAGGAAGCAATGTTTAATTGTGTTAGTTTTGATCAAGAAACTGGCACTTTGTTTATAGCTAATAGTGCAAGAATATCTATATTTGCATTGCACTTACATTTTCCCCAGAAGAAAACTGAACAGTTTGACTCTTATAATCAAGCTCTTTTTGGTGCTACTAGTCAGAATCAAATCGAATATGAGTCGATGAGCTCGGGTGATGATCCAAACAGTTCAAATGTCGTTCAATTCGATTATATGATCGAATTTCCAGTCAACCAATTGATTGGGAGTTTTGTCATAGTTTCTGACATGAATTCGTCACAGGGCGTATCATTATATTGTATTCAATCCAAGGCTGTTCAGCAATATAATATTTCCAAATACTTGATATTGCCTCCAAATTTTGATGCTTGTCCGGAGTATGTTAGCGCGGAATTTTCGCTTGATCAACAACAACAGGAAGAAGACATAAAAAAAGATGAACAAAATAAAGTTTCTATTGTAGAATCATTCGAGTTATCTTCAAATTCTGAAAGTGCTCAATTGTCAACAGCTGATGATGCTAATATCGATAAGGACATTGTAAAAGAGGCAGCAGCAATCGAAATTGTTAATACTAGGGATGAATGTAGTTCAGAAATCACAGCTTTTGTCACTGAATCTGAAGATATTGCACTAATTGAAAAGTATGCTGGACAAGAGCCTTCAACCAGTAATACGATAGAATCCACAAATAATTCAGACGAAACTGAAAGTAGAAGTCAAGAAAGTCATAAAATATCGAGTATAAAATTATCTGGTCCAGTTGTAAATGGTGCTATAGCAAAATTAAAAGAAAAAAAGAAGGCATCTCAGACTACTTCATCGGTTCAGAATAATGATTTATCTTCTGATTCAGAAAAGACTTCAAAGAGAAAAGAATCACGTCAAAGAGATAAAGATTGTGGGAATGAGAATAATTACACCCCCGAAGCTACCAGTAAGCCTACAGGTAAAAAGGTTGTGGATGGTATTTCCAAAAACAATGGAAGGATAGGTGGAGAGAAAAGTAGAAAACCGGAATCACAAGAAGGTACTGAGATAAAATTAAAATAAAAATCAATTAAAAAAAGCTCTTGATGCCTCATTTCATGATATAAATCTCTCGATTTATAGTTCAGCCTCCGATACCGTCAGCCGGCATTTCTCCTGCACAAATGCAGACGATCTTGAAAGAAATAAGAAAGATGGAAGATAATGTTACTAATAAACTTGGAAGGATGTTTTCGAAAGAATTAGAAAAGCAATGTTAGTTATCTGTTACTTTTGTATAATGTGTAAATTTTATATTAACTAATTTATTATCAAAATGTATCGCAAATTTAGTTCAAAAGATAGAGGAAGAACGTGTAGCACATCAAGCCGCTGAAACTTCGCGTCAAGAGACTATACTCAAAGTAGTTTCTCAAACTCTTAGTACAAATACATCCAAGTTGTTGGAGTCAACCATTCGTACTGAAATACAAAATTCTGTACTTCCTAATTTGGGTAAAATGGTTACGAGTGCTGTTGATAAACAAGCTCATAAAGGGATGGTTGATGCCGTAAATAAAGTTAGTGAATTTGCTTGTAACTTCAAAGTTTATTTTAATAAAAAGTTGTATTAACCTATTCATTATCTATAATTTAGAATATTCCAACAGCTATTGATAAGGCGGTCTCAGATAACGTGCCACGCGTTCTTTCAAAAGCTCCAGTTATCGAATCAATTGCTAAAGGAGTTTCCAAATCCATACGACCAGTTATCGAAGAAACGTTCAGAGAAAATTTTACTTCTGTGCTTATTCCATCATATCAAAAGGCTACAAATGCTATGTTTGAACAAATTACCACTACTTTCGAGGCTGGACTACATGATATTGCACATAAAAGCGCACAATCAGCTTCATTTACTAATTCCCAAAGCACTGATCATAATGTTTTGGCACGTATACAAGCGTCTATTGAGCATTTAACTTTAGCTGTTCAGCAATTACAAATGCAAGCTAATGTTAATAATGCCAATGTCGGTGGTAATGTAAGGCAGGTCGCTGGACAACAAATTGAACAACATTTGGGTCGTTCATCCGAAGAATATCCTTTTTATATTTAACATATTATCCTTTTTTACAATTGATCGTTAATGTTTATCTTAAATTTCCTTAACAATCAACCAAACATTGCAGCATGAACGTGCACGTTCTCTTTCTGGAGAATTAAAACGCATTTTAATTCCACAAGGTGCAACTTCAACGCCAGCACCTTCCATGTCACACCAAGAGATATATAATTATACACCTTCTATGAGAGCTTCTTCCTCTCAATCACATCAAATACATCAGCAGCAGCAGCAGCAACAACAACAACAACAACAACAACAACAACAACAACAGCAACAGCAACAGCAACAGCTACAACAGCAGCAAACGTTTCAACATCAGCTGAGACATCAGCAACATCAGCAACAGTTGTTATCACCTGTAGAACCACCTGGACTTGAAGAAAATTTAAATAATGTTACGGATAGATTCCTAGAATTAGGGAATTATGAAGATGCTTTTGTACAGGTACATAATTGTTCATTTGCTTATTTAATTTCAACCTAAGCCAATTCTAACCTTTATTTTATGTTTCACTGAATTAGGTCCTTGCCTCCCACGATCTACCGCTAATTATCAGACTTTGCAACAAAGTAAATCCAAAGAACGTCTTTCATCCATCCAGACCTTTATTATCACAGCCAGTTATTCTTTCACTCATCCATCATCTTTCTTTGGAGTTGAATAAATTCTCGGAATTAAAACGAGCATGGATAGAAGATGCTGTTATTAAACTTAATCCGAAGGTATATATGCATCTCGACATTAATTGAAAATTTGTTTTAATAAGAAATGTTTTTTAAATTTAATTTTTTTATTCAGGACCATATAATTCGGGAGCATTGTGAAAGGATTTTGCCGATGGTAAAACAAAGACTTGAAGAGCATTACTACCAAATAGCTACACAAGACCCCCAAAGTCCTAGTTTGAAGAATATTTTGCTTTTAATTCATGCAGTAAATGGATTGATATAGAAACGCTAGGATTAAAAACTATGTTATAAAAAAAAATTTAACCTTTTCATTAATGTTAGCAGATTTATTCACAAATTGTAATAGTTATCAGTATTTTGGCTTTTTTTTTTGATGCAACAAATACATATTGTTTATATTGTATATTAGTTCGAAAAATTTTTAAATGAAAATCAAAATTTTTTGTTATATCTTTTTTTATTAAATAAATGAAATGTAAAAATGATGTTTTGTATTTTATTTATGTTTAAATTACATATTTTCTAATATTAAAATAATCAAATATTGATTATTTGAATAATCATCTCATTAAGATTTTAGGATCCGTTTTGTACTTTTAAAAGTTATTATACTAGAAACATAAAGAACAACCAAAAAAAATAAGATACAATTTTCTATCTACTTTTTAATGTAAAATGAAAGGAAATATAAAAAATCAGAAAAAAAGTTACAAGCCTTACAGTCTTTATAAATATTCAATAATAAAAAATGTATTAGTTTATATAACATACAAATTTTGTGAGAAATACTCATTTTTAAACTATAAATCAGATTTATTTCAAAGTATTTAAAAAAAAATAAAATAAATTGTTTATTTCATATTATTATTCTTAAATAATAAGTATAAAATTGTTTTAAAAAACTTATAATATTTTGACATTTGGTAATTATATAAAAAAAATAAAATAAAATTTATTAAATTTATTATATTAAAATACATTTAATATTAGCATTTTAATTTTTTAAAATTAATAATTATTAATATACAGAGGGTGGACAAAAGTATTCGCACACCTTCCATAATGTGAATTAATGCTAGTAAAGTCATATGACTGCAATAACAAATTGCATTTACATGACACTTAAGTGTTTATTTATATTATAAAAATAAAAAGAATAACAATTTATTTTTTTTTTAATAATTTTTTTTTCTCTGAAAATCTAAAAAAAATGGTAAAAACTAAAGAATTAACTGCAATGATTTTTCAAGTGAAAAACAATCTTCATACATTATCTTGACCAGCTCAAAGTCCTGATCTTAATCCAATTGAGAATCTTTGAGCTGAAGTTAAGAGCTTATAAAAAATCTCTATCTAATTTGACTTATATGTTAAAAAGGCTTGGCAAGTAATTCCAAAGTATATTATCAAAACCTAGTCGATAATATACCGCAATGAATACAAGCTGTGATTGCGATAAATAGTAGCACAACTAAATACTAGTTACTTAGTACAAAATGTAGATCTTAATTGGCTTTAAATAAAATATTAATTGACCATTTATTATTAATGCAAAAAAATTATAAGTTTTATATTGAGTGAAAAAGTGTGCGAATACTTTTGTCTACTCTCTGTATTTACATAATTACTAACTTTTCTTTTCTTTTTTACTTACAACTTTTCCCAAATAAAAATTAATTACTAATATCAATTGATTGTAAAACTGAATTAAAACCCAATGATAAGAATAGTATTTTTTAATTACAAATTCTACTGCCTGATCTGTTAAACCTTTTTGATATATATCTATATAATGAAATATTTTCTTACATATTAATGAATAGTTATAAGTGAGATAAAATTAAGAACTAATGAAATAGTTCTTTACAATCTTACTATGAGTAATTACAATCAGATTGACTATATTTTTTAGCTGTATCCCAAAAAATTTTAATATAATTAAACTATAAGTATAATATGTTTAACTACTTGATTGATTAAATTTTCAGCTTTCTACTATCTTTCATTATTTTTTCCTGAATATGTAATAATACAAGCTTCTTTAAGAAAATTACCTGATAATTGTATTTTATAAGGAAGTGCAAAACGTTCGCAAACATTAGTCAAAAATTTATTAACATAAATTGAACATCCATTACTTTTTTTTCATAAAGGTTGTTTTCCATTTAGAATCCAAAGACTTTGACTTCTATCATAAGCTAAAAAAATACATTCATAATGTGTGATAAAGATAAGTAGTTATATATCATTAGCTGGCTATATTACTTTTTCTAAATTATCTCCAGAAAATATAGGTATCCTATTCTCAAATTTATCCATTTGTTCTAAGAAAATTTTTTAATAAGCTACTACATTTTCTCTTTCATGTTCATTTATATATATTACTTTTTCACTTTAGCATATATACAGTAACTGACAAAAGAAAAGCAACAACTTATTTTTAGCTTTAAACACTTATAACTTATTAACTACAAATGCTAGAAATATAATTTTTGATTCATTTTAATCATTACATTTTGAAAAATATCCTATAAAAATTTATTATCCAATTAATAATACCAATTTTGTATAATGTAAAGATCAATATTTAATAATAGTACTTAATGACTTTTGAGCTTGCAAAACATTTTAAGTAGGCTAGCTATCATAAAACTGATACTGGATTCTGATTCTCTTTTGTATAACAATTCCAACAAGCTAAATTTTATTCAACTAATTAGGAATTATTGTGCAGCAAAGATCAGCATTTTACTATATAAATTGGTTAAATTCATTTTTTCATAGTAAAATGCTGATCTTTGCTATGTGATAACTCCTGATCAGTTAGATAAAATTTAGCTTGTTGGAATCATTATGTAGAGGAGAATCAGAATCCAGTATCAGTTTTATGATAGCTAGCCTGCTTAAAAAGTTTGTAAGCTCAAAAGTTATTAAGTACTATTATTAATGTAGATCTTTACATTATACAAAATTGGCATTATTAATTGGCTAATAAATTTTTATAAGATATTTTTCAAAATGTAAGGATTAAAATGAATTAAAAATTATATTTCTAGCATTTGTAGTAAAGATGGCACCTCAATTAGTTACAACAGGTGACAAATAAGCATCACAATGTTGCAACAAATTGCAACATTATTAAAATTTAAGTTGTAACAGGTGACAAATAAGTGTCACAATGTTGCAATGCTATCTTTAATTTATAGTTAATAAGTTATAAGTGTTTAAAGCTAAAAATAAGTTGTTACGTTTCTTTTGTCAACTATTGTATATTCAAGGTTTTTCAAATAATTTCTTGTAGTATTAAGATGAATAGTTAGAGATGATGCAAATCCAAGTTCTGGTAAGATAACTTTATTCATTTGTAACATTAATACACTACTCTCCAAAAAGTATCTGATCAAGCTTTTTTTAAATTTCTCAAGATCAAATATATTAATTAAATAAAATTTTTTTTAAATAAACTTCCTAGTTTTGACAATAACATATATATGGTTATATTTGTATAACAATATGTAAATCAGTTTTTAATAAACAAAAATATAAATAACTCTGATTTTGCTTTTTTTAAAAAAATTGCGCTAATTGATATGGAAAATATCGCAAATTAAATAAGTTTGAACATGAAAAAGTAATTGGTTTACGTAAAGCTAGAAGAACTCATAAAGCTATTGCTCATATTTTAAATATTTCTAAAGCACTATTACATATACAATTTTCTGATATGCTAATTCCAATGATAGATTAAGCGCTAAAAGACCCAAAAGATCACTTTTCATGAATAATGATGATAATTGCACATTAAAAAAAATTATAAAAAAGAATAATTGATCTTCTCTTAGTGAAATTCAGCATAATTTTTAGGATTCAAGAGACAAGAAAGTTTCATTAGATACTATTCAAAAATCTCTTTATCAAATAGGAATTCACTCACGAATTGCTACGCTAAAATTACTTCTTACAGAATTTCAATGCAAAAATCAATTAAAATGGTGTATAGAGCGACAAAATTGGTCAATCTAAAAATGAAAAAGTGTGATTTGGAATGATGAATTATGATTTACTCTGTTTGAAAATGATGGGCCTAATCATGTTTGACAAAAAAATAATATCCAATATGATATTGAAAATTTGACTCCTACAGTCAAATATAGTGGTGGCATCATGGTATGGGGATGTTTTTCAGGAAAGGATTAGGACCATTGGTAAAAGTTGAGGGAAAAATAAACTGGTTAGATTATATTAATATTTTAGAAAAAAATTTATTACCATTTATTTGATCGAAACATCACAAACAGCATTATGCATTTTAAGATGATAATGCTTCAGTTCATAAAGCAAAGGATATCAAAAATTGGATTATTCAAAAATAGGTTAAGGTACTTCCTGATTGGCCTTCTTAATCTCTAAACCTTGATCTAATTAAGAATTTATAGAATGAATTTAAATGAAGATGCATTAAACGTTCTGTACATCTGAAAAATCTTCATAAACTTGAAGAAATATTACAAAAAGAGTAGAGAAAAATTCCATCTGAAACTTATATCAAACTTATAGAAAGCATGCTACATAGAATTAAAGTATATATTAAGAATTAAGGATAACCTACTGAGTATTAAATCATATAATTATATTCAAAATTTTTAAATAAATAAATAATTTTTTGGCTGATCAAATATTTATTTGAAGGTAGTATATCTGTAAAGTAACATCCCATTTATGTTTTCAAATATATGATTATACTTGAAGAAAAATGTTTTCATCCTAAAGAAAATTCCATATTTTAGCATGATGACCTTGACGAGAATAAAAAATTTTATAGATTATTATATAATCATTTATTTATAAATAAATACATCTAGCTTAATATACTTCTTGTCCTACTATATTAGCAATAATCTTATTTGTATCTATTTTTGAATAGTTAAATTTATAAGTTGAAAGTAAAGTTAAATATCATTTAAGCGTATTCAAACCTTACAATTAACTTTTCTTCTTTAAGATCTAATACTAGATTATCAAAAGCAGTCTGAACTTTATTTTGCTAATTGCAATTTTCATTCTCATTATCTAACTCTTCTACATTAGTTTCATCAGCTAACTCTTTATCAATTTCTTCAGTAGGTTTTTTAGTATCCCAAAAGGTATACAATATTAGAATTCCTTTTGCTATTTCACGCTGCTATTAATTCTTTCTTCTTTTAATATAACTTGAATTTCTTATATAATATAGTCTATGTATTTCATGAAAGTATATTCTTG